AAGGCTCATTACAGAGAAAACCTGCTCACAAAGGTAAAGTAGGTAGATAGAAAAAAGCACTTAAACACAGCACCTCAGCTTAACCATCTTCAGTGTGGTAAGGTCCATGGTTATGTTATTATCACATTAACCATCTTCAGTGTGTAAGGTCCATGGTTATGTTATTATCACATTAACCATCTTCAGTGTGGTAAGGTCCATGGTTATGTTATTATCACATTAACCATCTTCAGTGTGGTAAGGTCCATGGTTATGTTATTATCACATTAACCATCTTCAGTGTGGTCCATGGTTATGTTATTATCACATTAACCATCTTCAGTGTGTAAGGTCCATGGTTATGTTATTATCACATTAACCATCTTCAGTGTGGTCCATGGTTATGTTATTATCACATTAACCATCTTCAGTGTGGTAAGGTCCATGGTTATGTTATTATCACATTAACCATCTTCAGTGTGGTAAGGTCCATGGTTATGTTATTATCACATTAACCATCTTCAGTGTGGTAAGGTCCATGGTTATGTTATTATCACATTAACCATCTTCAGTGTGGTACGGTCCATGGTTATGTTATTATCACATTAACCATCTTCAGTGTGGTAAGGTCCATGGTTATGTTATTATCACATTAACCATCTTCAGTGTGTAAGGTCCATGGTTATGTTATTATCACATTAACCATCTTCAGTGTGGTAAGGTCCATGGTTATGTTATTATCACATTAACCATCTTCAGTGTGTAAGGTCCATGGTTATGTTATTATCACATTAACCATCTTCAGTGTGGTCCATGGTTATGTTATTATCACATTAACCATCTTCAGTGTGGTAAGGTCCATGGTTATGTTATTATCACATTAACCATCTTCAGTGTGTAAGGTCCATGGTTATGTTATTATCACATTAACCATCTTCAGTGTGTAAGGTCCATGGTTATGTTATTATCACAGAGAAAGCATCAAACTGACCATGATTCAGTTGAAATGAATAAAACAACTTCCATAACCAAAGCAAAGGAAGGTTTCTCACCCATCATCTGTACTTCTTAGCAAGTTTTACTTCCATAACGTGATTCATTCTTAACGACTGCAGCAGTGTCTCTGTGTAAAATACAGTCAAATGTCCAAAAATCATCACCTCCATTTGCAGCTTTGTCACTACACCTGTTTTTACCATCGGTACCAGTCCACACTGTCCAACACACCAGCAACAACAGCAGAACCAGCAGCAGTACCAGCAGCAGCGCTCAAAACTCCTCTGATAGTTTCAGTAACACCACAAATGAATATGTGACATCAGTAACATCAGTCTCTTATCAATGGCAACATGTTGGTAAAAGCGAGTGGTTTCTCAGACCATGTCTGCAGCCTGTGAGAGTTTTAACAAACTCTCTCTCACTGTGCGGCTGCGATGCTAATGCTAATGTTGTTAGCACAGGTAGCTTCCCTTTACAGCAGCAGAACTAACCTCTCGCTCTGGGCACAAACAGACTGCTGTGTCTTCAGGGCCAGACAGGTTTATCTTCTGTTTTCTCAATTCTTCGCTCAAAGTGCCGTATTTTTCGCCGAGTCTTGTAGTTTAAGATGTTATTCCTTCAGCACCGCTCTGGTGGAGCCACTACAGACGAACTGGACTCACCCCTGAGCGCGGCGCTGCGGCGTCGCGGCGCCTCGCGGCGCGGAGCCTCGCCTCGCGGAGCGGCTTTTTAAAATGTAACTTTATTATATTTTTACATAAATGAGCCGCGGGCCGTGTCAAATCTCTTGGCGGGCCGGTTCCGGCCCGCGGGCCGTATGAATGACACCCCTGGAATAGACTAACACAGCCTTAGGATAAAGGGCTCGCTGAGCCACTGCTGCGCCACACCAAAATGAGGAGCAGACTTGTGTGGACTGTGGGGATATTATTATTATTAGAAGTGTATAATGTGAGTATGGGAACAAATCTCAGCTGTGATTGAGCTCTGATAGCCATTAGTTCTGCTCCAGCGCACAGACTGACTCCTGTCTAATGATGTCATTGACCTTGTCACCTCCCAGAGGTCAGAGTGTCCATGTTAAACCATGCGTAATGGTTCCGTGTTTAGACTACAAGGCCTGTCCAGCTAAATAGTGATGGATAGCTTCTTTTTGCTGGTGGTGGTGGTGTGTGTTGCATCAGATGATACGGGTCTCAACATGATATGCAGTTGATTAAATCAATACTCTGAGGAAATGTGCGGCGCTCCATTTCAATCCAATAACAGTGGGTTTAGGTGTGTGCACGTGCCTGCACATGTAACAGTGGTACCCTTGAGGGATGTGTGTGACACTAAACTACTCAACAAGGGCATTGTGTTTGTTTGCTCTGAAATGAAGTCATCAGCAGTAACGGCACGCCTCTAAGAAGGTGTTCACATCATCAGAAACACATGAGCCACAAATCTCCTCCCTATACGCTGTGACAGACTCAATGATAGTGGTCATTTGTGGCCCGGATCCTTAACCATGAAAGAGAGATGAGATTTGACAGACAGCCCAAAGGCGCATGCAAAAAAAAGAGCAGTTTTCTATTTTCTCTGTTTTGTTTATTAGATTTGTTTGTGGAGAAGAGGCCAGCTGCTGCTATGGCACAGACAGAAAAGGGCTGGGATGAAGAACGGCATATCTGCATTGGAATAGAGAAGATATGAAGGAATTTCCATCCATATGCTGTGTGTTTCTGCATTATGTCAAGGATTGTTAGCGGGACAGATGCTGCCCCGGGGCTACACACATTAACAAATCCATGCAAGTTCCCATACTTTGCACACAAAGACTCAAAGTGGAGCCAGAACAAGGTTTGGAAAAACAGGCTGTCTAACTGCTTTTGATTACCTGTTTTTGTCTTTGTCACTCGCGGTGCGTCACCTCAGCGCTGACCCTTATCAACCCCCCACGCTAATGACCGGCTCAGTTTGACACTCATTAAAGGGCCTCAATTAAGCAGAGGGCCAGTCACTTTCATTAGGCCACTTGTAAAGGTCTATTTTGGTCAGGCTTTAAAGGCAGGGGGTCCGAGTCGGGGCAGACAGGATGGAGGCAGCGCTACCTGGAGCATGGCGGCTTTAGGGTAATAGGAAGTCAGTCTATTTGTCAGAGCTAATGCGAGAAGAACAAGACAGATCAAAGAGCGGTGAAGATCTATGGTATTACTGGTTCAAAATGCGTATTATTACAAACATATTATTTATACAGCCATATGGCAAGTACAGTAAGTAAGTAATCTTTATGTTTATAGTGCAATCAGAGACCCAGGTTGCATTACTTTTGGTGCACCAGTAATTCATCAATACATCAAAGCCCCTAACCATCACCATTCATCCACTCACTCGGTACATTCAGACCTTTTGTACATGTTTTTATAGTGGTAGGGGAAACCGGAGCACCTGGAGACAACCTGAACAGACAAACATGCAAACTCCAAACACAGAAAGGCCTAAAAGTAGGAGTACCAAACTTTAAAACTCACAACAGTTTGGTTCTAGCACTAGTTTTCACGTGCATGCATTTTTTGAACTCTGTAACATATTCTGATCAGCTTTTTCAGAATCAAAATCAGAATCAGAATCATTTTTATTGCCACGTCAATAACAGGAAGTCACAGACTCGGAAATTGCTTTGGCTCAGTGCAACAGTCACAAAGAGAAATGTGAAAAAGAGAGGCCACCCTCACTCAGCTATTTGCCCAAAACATGAAATAGCGACTTACAAATATATGTTAACATGTTTTCTAATAAGAGCTTATTGTGGTTTGTTTGCACCGTTTTACTTTCACAAAACTCCTTCTTTTGGGATACATATGACATATTATGTATAAAAAAGGTTAGGTACCCCAGCTTTAATCAATCCCTTCTCAATATCTCGCCGTGGCAAGAGCTCTGGTGTGTGCCCTCTTCTCTGTCTGGTGCACACTAGGGTAGTCTTGCACAGTTTTTCCAATGTGGTTTTACTGCAAATGGCAAATAAATAAATAAATCTGAATCTGAATCTTATTTATCAATCTATTTGACACTACTTGAACCACAGTTATTGGCTTCTGTAGACGGCAACTATGTATATCATGAGTTTAAACACATCCATTCTGTGTGGGGACAACCAAGGCAAGACACCCCAGGCAGAGCTAAGGGTCAGGGACAAAACATAGATTTTTACGTATTTAATTTTTTTTTGGGTTGGAACAGTATTTATTGAAGACACCTCTCCGGATGTGAGGAGGAACGTCGAGAGGAACCAGTTGAGGTGGCTCGGGCATCTGTTCCGGATGCCTCCTGGACGCCTCCCTGGGGATGCCCCGGGGAAGACGCTGGAGGGACTATGTTTCTCAGCTGGCCTGGGAACTTCCTCCAGCCCCTGGATGAGCTGGAGGAAGTGTGTGTGGATAGGGAAGTCTGGGCGTCTCTGCTTAGACTGCTGCCCCCGCGACCCGGCAACGGATGAAGCGGAAGAAAATGGATGAATGAACCTCTCCGGATTGAAGCCGTTGTCTCACAGTTGCACTCACAAAAACACTCTCATTCACCCTGACCTATTGTACTTGTTTTTAGTTGTATTGGGAAACTATTACTTCTTTTTTACTCACTTTATAAATAGAGCCCCAGGTCTGCAGAGAAGACATATTTTCTCAATATAAAAACAAAAATGGACAGTAATTTTTGGTCAATCAGTGGCAGAATCTCCTAAAGAAAATCTTGGCTTGCGCAATTTCAAAACTAAATTAATCAACCTTTGAATTCACAATGAGGCGTACTGGATATAGCTTCTTCTCTTTTCTCAATACTCATTATTCAACTCAGAAATTCATCATGTGGAGTGTTGTTTGCGGTTGTATATGAATCAAATATATATTGCGTAGACTTTGATATTACAAAAGCATATTATTTTGTTGTTCTTCTAACTGTGAGTGTCCTGCTCTAATAGGATTCTGAGACCCAGCTGGGACTTCATCATTTCTACTGTGTTCTCAATATTGAAATGTTGCATGACAAAGACGGGGGGGGGTACGGCAAACAGAGGAAAGAATACCTCCTCCATTCAAAGGTTTGATTTTTTTTTTTTACTGTAGATGCAATTCTCTGGAAAATAAAGCAGGAATGAGAATGCAATCCAATCTGCCTCGTCTCCAAAAGTAAACATAAAGGGTCTATGTTCATAAATATTAAAGTAAGGGCAAGATAATGTAACACACAGCAAAGACAAGTGGCCACATTTCTGCTTGCTGATGATTATGTGAATAATTTTGTGCCTTTTGGATACATGTATCACTGCAGAAAAAGAAATTAAAACATTAGCAGGAAGATTTGAATCTATCGAACTCTTTCCTCCGTCAGTTTTCAGCCAAGAGTGCCTGCATCTCATTTGATTCCTCTCCTCGTTTTCACCATTTCTCGACAACTATAATTTTTTTTCTAACCCCAAACTTGTATCACTTTGCATGTGCAGTACATACATATCTACACAAATAGTAATCGATAAAGTATTGTAATGGTGGGTGAAAAAGACAATTTTCTCCTTTTCAAAGGATTCTCATCCTTCCGACTTTGGGCAAGTTGTAAGTTACTCCCAATGAATAAAAGATTGGAGCACTTTAACCTTTTTGAACTAAGGTTCGCCATTTATTCTTGGAATGTTCCACTAAATGGCATCAGCTGAACTGCAGCTTAGATGAGATCAAATTGGTCTGAGCTATAGAAAATTCTTTAGTTTAGTGAATGAAAAGTTATCAGATGTGGCATAGTATTCTCTTGATATTTCCAAGGTCAAAAACAAACATATACTGCAAAAATACTTAGATTACCCGGAACAACAACACTCATCACTGAGATCATTTAGGAGTAAACTGATCCCTCTGATTATTATTATTTTTTTCATAGTCTTACCAGGATTTCTGCTGTAGTTAAGCCCATAGAGCTGCAGGCATGAGGCTTGAACTGTGCCATAGACCATACGTACACTTTGGGGATCTAATATAAGAAGAATGACTACAAATTGCCCAAAACTAGACTAATTCCATAGCAATGTCAGTGATTTCAGATAGTTAGGTGAATTACAGCAACATGATAGAAAAGGCAATGAAGATGTAAAATAAAACAGTTGTGCTATTGGCAGCTCCGTAGACCGCGTGATCCAAGACTTTATCCAGGGCCGACGCCGCTGGTCTGCTGCCCAGTCTCAAGACCAAGTCTACAACCTCAATCATCCCGGAAGCAAAAGGTGAAGAGTTTTTTAAAGTACAGGTAGAAGGATGAAGCTCTGGAGTATCATTTGTTCTGTTTGTTGTTTGTTTTGTTAAACTGGATTCTGTGTTTTTTGGTGTTTTATGGAAACAAACTGAGCGGCTGAAAAAAACAGCAGAGACGTGGAGGAGAGCAGAGAAAATGAGCTCTCCTGAGAGGCGCGATGAAAAACAGAGCCATCTGCGCTGAGGGCTGGCTCTCTCAAGACGAGCTGGGCCCGTTTCAACTCTTTGTATCCCTCCTTTACAGTAAATCAAGGCAGAGACGACGCTGTTTTCCGATGGTTAGTGCTTTTGTGCGAGAGCCTTCATATGGCTTCAGAATGTGTGTGTGTGCAAATATAGATGTGGGGACTCTAGGGAGTTTGACGCAGGGGGGATGTAAGTGGTACGTCTGAAACAGGAGGAATAATTGTGCCAGACACACATTCAAAGATGGAAAATATTAAGATTTCATTACGGATGAGCTTAGATTTAATCATATATGTCGTTATTTAATCATTCTTCAATATACTGTAGATGGTAGATTAAAAGAATTAATCAAAGCTATCCAGAACCTTCTAACTTGACTTTAAAACAGGACTAAAGGTCTTTGATAGAGTTATTATTAATGTCTGAATCAAGCAAAGAGTAAAAACAAAGAAAACATTGCCCTTATGTGTCACTTCTGCAGAGATTTCCTTGGCAAAGAAACTATTATGCACCATGGAGACGGGCCAGTATTGTAAACTATTCTTCAGAAACAGCAGAAAGTAAGCCTTGTATTCTAGTTGATAATTACCCTAAATGATAGCAATGCAGTACTAACTTCGAAAACACATAGAAATATAATCAAATTCATGTAACTATTTGGTTCTCAAAACGGTCTGGTTCTATCACGAGCCTTCAAAGGAATGTATTCAGACATCCACCCCTCACATTGCCAATCAGCAGTGTGTAATATATCAAATATTACATATACTACATATTATTATAGTACTTACTGTATATAGCACTTTTCATGACACCCAAAGACGCTTCGGGTGGCATTATTCATTCACTTTTTACATGGTGAATTAGCAAAGCGAAGTATGGCAACCAGTTTATGTCATTGGTCCCTATAACTACCACCAATCAAACACACGCACACACACATACACGTACACACACCAGACTCATACTAGGCCATGTGGATGAAGTGAAGTGTCTTGCCTAAGGACACAACAGCAGTTTGGCACTTTACATTAGCAGCCAACCCACCAAGTCCTGTTCAGCCTCTGAGGTCTGTTAGGATCAGGCTTTTCTCATGCAGATGGCGCCACAGAAAAAAAAAAAAAGAAATCGAGTGCGCTAAAGACAGCATGAAACCAACGACAAATTGATGTACTCCAGCTTCAAATGAATAGATATCCAAGAGTGTAAAAAGACAGCCTATTTTGTAAAATGAGCTCGCAATCTGTGTTTACCTCTGTCCATTTCACCAGATCACATTGTCCAATTGTGTGTTTATGGCAGTTCCAGTCGGAGTCAGAGTGTACACAGAGGACCCACTGCTGTCCCGTTTGTAGTGTTACCTTACGTAGCTCGTCATCAAAACGTGTTCGGCAATCACTGGTCAAATTCATCTCTTGTTTATCTGTTTCATCATGAGCATCAAATTTGGTCGTCTGGTGAAAAACTCTCTGCCAAATCAGGATGCAAATGAGGCAACACACCGTAACGGACAGATAACAAGCTGCGGAAAATCCACAAAGCATAAAAGAAAGGAGCGAAAGAACACGTTTGCATCATTTTGTTTTAGTTCTGTGTTCTGTCGTACTCATTTATTGCAGATAATTGAAAAGAAATACTTTTTACAATATTTTTTGAATGAGGAATAGCTGATCAAGTTACAAAGCCACAGAGAGGTAGCCCCACTCAAAGAACTAATGCATGTTTTGATTATGTTGGCACATTCTTTGGCAACTAGAAATTAAATTTAAAATACACATTTAAACTTGGCTTGTACGGATTTAAATACTCTAGACAAGTAGTGTATTTGTAAACTCTCTCGAAGAACTGCTTTTTCCCCCAGTGATAAAACAGCTTCATTAAAGGGGTAACTCACTTTTTTTGTGTTCTCGTTACTCTCTTCATTTCGTAAAAATACATATTTTTTCCCGCATGATTGTGAAAGAGCATTGTGAGTCACGATTTGACCCTTTGGGCTTAGAGAGGGTGATTATTTCTTTTATACTTTTACATCTGAAAAAGCAGATCTAAAGATATGACAGAGGCCCGAAATTATGTGAAAACTAGTGATAGAACCAAAGATTGTATGGTTTGAAAGCTAAGTCCCCCAGCTTTAACAAAGAAAGCTGGGGAAGTGAGAGAAAAAAAAAAATCATTCATCCATATTTATACTGTGAATTTTTACTATCACTGTATCCCACCGTATCCAGTTATGATTCCATCTCTAGTCATGAGAAGTAATATTCCAAAATCCAAGTCATTTTAAAGCAATCCGGTCTCAAATTTCTAACTACATTCTCCCTTAGACACCTGTCAGAATTACAACTATCCTGTCGAGGTGGGGGGTATGTGGGAAGGTCTGTAAGGCTCTGTCTGTTGTGTGGTTTTAGGCAGAACCCGGCATCTCTCTCGGGGTCCGGGGCCCTCGAGCCGTCCGCCTGTGAAGGTCAAGTCCGATCGGGAGCGAGACAAGCCAGATTGGCATGGAAATGGAATCTGCTGTCTGGGCGCCAACGTCCCGACTCTCAACACGTCCTGCTCTATCCTCCCTCCCCGCATACCAATATGAGAACGCACAGGGGCACAGGCGCAGGTGGGGAGAGCGGTCAAAAACTGTACTCCTGAGCATTATTACCGCACGCTCAGACAAGAGGTCGCGGTAATGGGGAATATGTACAGTACTCGGATACGGATTTACCTGAGTCACCTTTTGCATGGAGCAGTGTGGCGGGCTCGTACCGAAAGACAAATATGTTTGAAGCGTAGCCTTGCAAAGTGTTTCAGGCTGGAATTGGGGCTCTTGGTTTCCAAAGCTCGTCCGTTTTATGCATTGCTGTTAGCTACAGTATGTCAATGTATTATAGTGGTATATACTAATGTGTGTAAAATCAAGTTATCTATTCGATTTACAAAACCAAAGACAAAAAGATAAATCGATTGTGTCTGTTGTTTTTTGTTTCTGTATAAAGTACAGACTAAAAGTTTGGACACACTTTCTTTTTAAATTCCTTTCTTTTTATGACTATTGACTGTATTTTCACACCCACCATTCTTTTCATACTTTTCTTTTAGTACGTACATAATTCCACATGAGTTAATTCATAGTTTTGATGCCTTCGGAGTGAATCTACAACGAATTTCCACAATCATGAAAATAAAAATCTCGTTGAATGAGAAGGTGTGTCCAAACTTTTGGTCTGTACTGTATATGCTGTCACTAATATTTCTGAAATATTACTTACATTTCTCAAGACATTCATTTTGATATCCACTGTGCATTAGTTTCAGAACCAACATGTCATATTGCTTGGATGACAAGGTGACACAGCAGTTTAAGCTGTCTCTAAGTAAGAATGTTTGACTTCTGGGTGGCACAGTGGAGTTTGCATGTTCTACCTGTCTGCTCCAATTTCCCCTATTTCAGCTTCCTACCCTCTGTGTCTAGTAATCCCCCGGACCAGAGATTCTGAATACTCAATAGTACAATAATGGTTTGAAATCTGGGTCAACAAAATCCTAATTCTTACCCCTTTACAAACTGTACTTTACTGCTTGAATGTTTTATCAAGACAAGTGTATTTGTATGTCAGAGTAGAGGCCTGTGCTACATTTTCAGGAAGACTGTTTCAGATTTTAGCTGCATAAATCTGAAACGCTGCCTCCCCATGTTTAGTCCTGACTCTGGGTACCGGCAAGAGGCTACTTCCTGTGCTCCCAAGAGTCCGAGCCGGTTCATATGACACTAACACGTCACAGATGTACTTTGGTGTGGGACCATGGAGAGACTTGTTCACAAAGAGAGCTATTTCATTCTCTGAGCCACAGGAAGACAGTGCAGGGACTGAGAACTGGACTAATGTGATTGTACTTCCTGGTTTTAGTCTGTTCTAGTCTGTTCTAGTCTCTTCTAGAGCAGCAGCGTTGTACATGAATGAAATATATACTTTTAAATTATTTTAAACGGTTTAGTTTGACACACATTTCTCTGCATTAAATTTCAATCAATGCAGAGAAATGTGACGTATACACACCACTTTCTTGCACTAGAAAATACAAATGCACCGATACCAATACTGGTATCAGGTCGATACCATAGGCTTGTACTCGTACTCGTACTCGTACTCGTACTCATACCATACAACCCGATTCTGGCAACCGATACCCACATTTTTTATTCACATTAGCGTCACAACGGTAGACAGCAGCTACTGGCAGGCTAGCGTCAAGCAGGCTAGCGGCGAGCGGACAAGATGACGGCCGTATGGCAGTTTTTTAAACGAGAGTAAACGAGAGTGACAAGAATAAAGTGGACTATTCGTTGTGTGTTAGAGCTGTCTGGAAACTGTCTGGAGGTGGGTCCAAAACAAACACAGATTCACCTTTGCTAACACCGGACCTATTTCTAGGTATCATTTGCATGAGTGGAATATGACAGTGGCTCTTACTGTTGACATGTTAAAACAATTGCTAAATTTTGTAATAGTTAAAGCATTTTCTTATTGTTGAAATGAGACATAAAACAAATTCGGTAATATTTGCAGGCATGTGCTGCACTCGTATTGGTATTCGGTATCGGCAAGTACTCAAATTAAGGTACTCGCATCGGTTTTGAAAAAGGTGGTATTTGTGCATCCCTAATATACAGCATTTTCTACTTACTCCTTATTATGTTAAAGTCAGGGGTTTCTGTGCTTAATTCCCGCTTCTTCATCATGCTAAAGTTAGAGATGTTAAGACTTCTTTCCTTATTATGCTAAAGATAGAGATTTTATACAGCTTCTTTGTATGCTAGAGTTTGATATTTTATTTTATTCTATTCTAGCATTGAGTTATAATTAATTTATCTTGTGCTGTGTTTTCCTCATTCCTCCTGTTCTGCAACTGATCATTTCCCAAGTTTTGCTGAAAAAACACCCTTGAACAGACATAAATTCCTAATGAGATACGATGAGCGAACCTGTATTTGTCCCACAGTGGGGATGTAACCGGTGACTGCACAATGGAACTATATGGAACGCCCTTGTCACACCAGATCAGCTTGAACAAAAACATGAATCCAGCTGTTTGTGCATCTGCTGAGCGCCTCTCCGTCACCCCCGTTTGCATATGGCACATTCCGCCCAGGGCCATTTTTGACTGCTTATTTCATAATGAACAAGAACGCCACTTATTGAGCTAATGGCTTCATACGCCGAGATGTTGCCTTGTGTTTATACGGGGCCGCTTGAGTTATGCGCCCCCTTCGCCAGGAAATCTCTGGGCTGGCTTCAGAGTTGTGTGTCTAATTACAAACCATTATTTTAGTTTTTGACAGCCGTCGCCCCAACACCGCGCCAGGCGAATAACCAAAGTACTCTCCAAGATAATCCCCAATGCTTTCAACTTCTGAGTTGTTTGTGCCGCGCTAAAAGGTTGTAATCTTTCGGACAGTGATGCATGTTGTGTATATATTTTTGCAACTAGAGTAATGTAGCAATAACACAAGCTAACATTAGCACTATCCAAACATTCGGGCTCACACATCAATTGCATAGGAGTTTGTTTATGGCGGGTTTTCATGCTGCATCTATAAAACATGCAACAAAATGTATGCGTGAAGGGGTTTGTAAAGGCCATATGTTATACTCACCTTATTCATTACATGTTTAAAGTGCATTTAGAGCACGCTTTTGATAAATATGAGCTTTGGTGTTGAACAAACAAACCCCAGCAGTGTAACTATGGGAAAATGTATACTTCCGCTTTACTTGCACTGGACATATTCTACAATCCTTTTCGGTAGTCAACTACTCAACAATTCTTTTAATTCAAACCCTGCCTATTAGCTTATCTATATAGGCTGCAAAATGGTAACTGAAGGTTGAGGAAAAAAAAAAAGTATACTTCACAATTTTTATGCATTACATTACATTTTGATGTATTTTAACCTTCTTGAAATGTCTGCATAGCCCAGCTGACGGCCATCTACATACAGCACATGTACCTGTATGGGTAAATGTAGACTTATTGGTGTAGCCATATTTGCAACTCCCAATGTCATTAATAGCATCAAACTTAAAGCTGGGGAACCTAACTTTGATAATGTGAAATTGTTCTAAAATCCATTTAACTCGATCCAAGCAGTTAGATTTGCTGTTAGACAACACACAAATCAAAAATCCTCGTAAGACAAAGACAACAACATGTGGTCTAATTTTAGGACTCAAAGTGAAGGCACTCAGCTTTAATGACATATTGGCACATGGAGATAGGCACCTGGAGCCTGTTTTCATGTCAATATGATTATCAAGGCTAACACTACGTCGAGATATAAGCCTCAAAGAAGATAAAACAATGGCAGGAGGGAAAAATAGGATTGACAATAATGGACTTTACTCCACATTTATTCGTCCTATTGCGTTTTGATGGCGGAGACACTTCAGCAGACAGGAAATCAGCTCAGAATAGGACCTGCACTTTCCCAGGTGATCCGACAGAGCGTCCCTGAAGAGGAAATTTATGTTGCCATTTTCAAAGCCAGTGGCATGCATAACAGAGGGGGAGGGTCTAACAGCATGCTTCACTGGACATTGAGTGGCACAGAGACACCAGCACTGAACCTATGCACAGGCCTGTCAATCAACGTCGCCACATGCAAAGCTTTACCGACTAATGGTGCGGAAACAGATGAATTAATAACACATCAAGATGGCCGCTTAGAAGAGATTGTGTGAAGTGTAGAAAGTGGGATGTGTGAGATTTTATACTTTAGTTATAATTTTGGGATTTTATTGCATTATTGTGTTGTTCATGTTTTATTTATTTTACAGAGAGAGTTTATATGAATTTAATACATTCAGTTCAATCAGGCAGAATAATGTATATAAACAGCCTCAGGTAAAAATCCATAATTCCCATACAAAACACATTGATATTGGATATATGGTTTAATCATTAAATTAGATCATTTAAAGTCAATTAAATGTAAAAAGTTCATTATGGCTTTATGTTTAAGACTTTGAAGGTTCTTTGAATGAGATAAAGAATGTAAAGAAGCTAGTTCTGCTTAATTAATTGCCTTTTTATTGTACATAATGTATCCTGAACAGACATTTTTTTTGCAATTAACATGTACATTTCTCCTGTGTGAGATCAACAAAGTCTATCTTATCTTATCTTCATTACCTAATATGTTTTGGTGGTTTAGACTTCCGCCATCGTCAGGAATTGGGCGCATGGACCATCAACAGGGACGAGGGGGCTTTCACCTTGGCTCAAACTCGGGACTCCCTTCTCTAGAGACAACCGGGGAAGACTGGCAAATCGGATCAGGCAGAGTGGAAAATCTACCCGATCCGGTGACAGCTGATAAGAGACACGCCACAACGATAACATATCAAGTACTTTAGATGTACACCGTTGTCTTTTTAGAAGAACCTGCTAAGCTTTAGGTGGTAAAGTCAGCTTACAGTGAATATGACTATGAATATGTTTTTATCTGGTGGAATGACTCCTGTTTTACCGGTAGAGAGGAGGATTTTCACCATTTTAGGAAAGAACCACCCTCTCAGCTTCTTGAAAAAAAAAGCA